TTGGGACGTTAAACCCCACAAATCAATCAATCAATCGGATTGCGCTTCGCCGGCCACGATTAATGCTTTACGGTTAGTGACAAAATCTTCCACATAATTGTACACTCGTCGGCCGACGTGCAGCTGGTGCAAGTTGCGCACAAGGAGCTCGCGGGAGACGTTACCAAATGCCTAGTGCAGGTCAAGATCCGAAATGGCTCTTGTATCCAGGGTGTGTGTTTCGGCGTCTATGATTTGATGTTTTAGCTGCAGCATGACGTCTTGCGTCGAAAGTCGGGGTCGAAAGCCCACCATCGTGTGCGGGTACAGCTTGTTGTCGTCCATATATCTGACAAGTCGTGTTAAACTACTGTTTTCTATGAGCTTTCCGACGCACGACGTCAGTAAGATAGGCCCGAGATTCTTTATGTGTTGTCGTTAACCGGCTTTAGGTATAAATAGAAATTTAGCAGTTTTCCATTGCGAGGGTATTACTCCTTTCTCCAAACATTCGTTCATGTACTTTGTGAGAGCAGTGACGGATTCTTCGTCCAAGTTGCGAAGTGTTTTATTCGTTACACTGTCGGGGCCTGGGGCAGACTGGCAATTCAGTCGTCCGAGTTCGTATCAAACTTCTGCTTCAGTTATGGATGTGTCGAGGTCTATGTTATTCTTCCCGTGGTACTCCGGTAGTCGGGTCTTTGTTGCATCGCCTAGGTAGGTCTAGCGTAGCTCGCGCAGGAAGCTCTGCCTCTGTGCCTGCGTAGCTGTGTAGCATGCCCTGCAGCTTTTGGCGTTGTGTTGCTTTTTGCGTCCTCTGAATTGAGGAGGCTTCGAATCATTTGGGCATTCTGAATCGTCGGTTCCTTAAAATGCACGTGCCTTCCCATTGCTGTTGGCACAACCTGTTTGCGTGATCTTCTATGTCTCTGTCGAGGGTGAACATTCTTTTTCTGGGGCGCCGGTTGTGCTTTTGACATTTCCAACGCTCTTGCAGGCTGCGTTTTGCCTCCCACACGTGGAGGAGCTTGCTGTCCATTACAGACATGCCAGTGTCTTCGGGAACGTGTTTGGAGGATTTCTGCATGCTACGTTGAATTGTGTCTAACCACTGCTGTATATCTTCGATGCTCTCGATGTTCTCGGTCACATCATCCTCCCTTAGCTTACGAAAGGTGTCCCACTCGGTTAACATTATTTTTCTGCCTTTCTTCTTTCGCGGGCCCGCTCGGAGCTCTGTGCGTACGATGCAGTAATCTCTGCCAAGATTTACGTTCGTGTTGGTCCAACGCTGGTCGAATATGTTCTTTACAAATGTCAGGTCCGGCGTAGTGTCTCTGCTGACGCTATTTCTCATTCTGGTCGGGTCTTGCGGAATGGTCACTAGCCTGAGCCGCTCGTGTTGTGCGTCGTTCCACAGGTTGCAGGCTTTAGCGTTCTCAGTGGTGCAACCCCAGGCGCCGTGCGGTGCATTAAAAACTCACAAGATGATTAGTGCCTGCCTGCCCGCGACTTTTACCACTTTGCGAAAAAGCGAGCCAAGCTTCACCTTTTGTCGTGGTGGGCTGTATACGTTCAGCACAAACAAGCTTCCCTCCTTTTTTCGAGAAGGGATAATTTCTAGTAGGACATGGTCTATGTTTCGCGCGCTAGTGTCATCTTCGACAGCCGTGATATTTCTGTGTATCAGTGTGGTCAGTGCTGCTTTACCACCTAAAGTGCTGTATGACATGTATCCGGATAATTTAGCGGTCCCTCCAGTTTCTTGGAGGGCGATTACATGTGGTGCTTGCTTGGTTTTTACGAATTGCTGCAGGTTACCCCTCTTATGACGAAACACACGACAGCTCCACTGCCAAACCATGTACTCGTTACACGACGCCATGTTGGCTACCGGAGTTTTACATGCCGCTGTTCTCAGCTGCAACTAGTCTGCCGTACGGTTTGCTCTTGACCGGCCTAACTCCCACAGGCCGGGCTTCTTTCGGCACGTTTTCCACCTGCGCTACTATAACCTCGAGGATGTCGAACTTCTGCGACATTTCTAGTCGCATTTGCGTCATCTGTTGCTCTAGGTTTGTGCGCATCTGCATGAACTGTTGCTGCAAACCTACGACAATAACCCAAAACATGTCTTTTACTTCTAGCGTTGAGTCGCTTTGCTCTTCGGTGTTTTCTTTTGCCCTTCGCTTATGCGACGGCGTCTCTACACTCACCGGCGCTGCAACGGGCGTCGCCGGAGCGCGAATAGACGTCGATGGAATACTGGCTGTTGGCGTGGCATTGATCGACTCTGTATGTTTTGCATTTTTAAGTTTTGCGTTTTCCACCTTAAGCATTTTTATCTCTTTCCTTAGCATCGTGTTTTCACCCGTTATTTACTGTAGCGCCTGTTTGATCTGTGTAATGTTCTGTTCTAAGGTGGGCCCCACGCTTGTAGGTGTAACAGCAGTACCAGAGACCGCGGCTGCAAAGCTCACTTGTGCATGGGTTTCCGCCTCTCCTTGGCTTGGTTCCGACCTTGAGCTTGCTTTGAATCTTGAACGGTTTCTCGAACGGCTTCTGGTCCGGGTTCTCGACCTGGGCCTGCGACCGGGCCTTCCCCGACTGTCCCCTTCGTGTGGTGCGGATGGAGAGCCTCCGGTTATTTGGCCTTCTGATGCCTCGGTGTCCTTGCCCACTGCCTTAACAGCTCGTTTATTGTGCTCGTTGATGCCGTACTCTGCTTTGTCCTCGGCTTCTCTTCTTCGTCGCTGCCAGCGTCTTCGTCGTGCCAGATACGGTATCTTGTACATCGCTTTGCAGCGTCTGTCTCCCGTAAGGTGACCTTGTCCGCAAAGCTGAAATCTTGCTTCCCACTGATGTTCTTGCGCTCGGTTGGCCATGCCACATCCCATGCATATTTTTTCGTCAGGGTTGGGGCAAATATCCAATCTGTGTCCCAGTCTTCCACATTCATACAAAATGTCTATGTGTTTTCGGTACAGCGAGCACCAAACGATGGGTTCTCCATATTTCACGTATCTTGGCACGTGCAGTCCATCGAAGAGTACAATTACATTGTTTGTGTTGGCCATCCTCTTCGCGTGTAGTATGCTTAGGTTTCTCGCTGCAACTAGGTTGTGGATAATGGCTTCGGAACTTTATTCTTGGGATATCCCTAATATGAGTCCCTTATATGTGTTTTCCGGCGCAGCTATGTAGGCACTGGCTTCGTGGTCTTGCTCTCCCACTTGTATCTTTGTGACAGCTCCGTACTGTCTGTCTCGCTCTTCGTGTGGCGTGCTTACGACCACGATATTCTGCTGGTAGTTTATGCATATGCTGTCTTCTGCTGCTGCTTCGCGACCGACGACAGCGGCGTTTCGCAAGCAGCAGTAAATGCGCGCTTGCCTGTGCTCCGAAACGCTGAGTGCTCCTCGGGGTCACACAATGACCTTGAAATATTCTGGTGGTAGATGAATTAACTGACTTGCTTTACTATTTGTCGTGTGGTTCGTTCACCTTTCCACTTGCTGGCTCCATGAGCACACGTGGGTGCAGCAGCGTCTCGGCCTGAAGTTGCTTCGGTTGTTTTCTTTATGTTTGTTCTGCGCACGTCACACTATCTGGTGTCGTTGGTAAAATCATCCGGTTGCATATCTTCTTCTTTCATGCTTACAACCTCCATCGTGATGCTGGACGCGCCGTCGAGGCGTTCCAATGGCGTTACCTCGATGCGTTCCCTCCAGCTCTACCCCCCACCACGGCACCTGATGCCCCGCCTTGATAAGTCCCATTTCTTCTAACGGGGCCCGAAAGTCTTCAAACTGGTATGGTCTTTTTTCGAAATCACCATGCAGAAACGCACTGTTCCATGCTGTCACCCGAAGGCAATATAGGCAACAAAAACTGGTATTCCCATGGTGATGAAGCAAACCTAACACCGCAGCCAGCAGTGGCCGCCGAAGCACTTCGAATGAAGTGAGCCAACACACGTCGATATCCCACGGAAGCCAAAGTGCTAGCCCGGCACGCAGAAATTGTTAAGCCTCAGTGCACAATTTCGTGTGTAGAATATCAGCATGGTAACCAAAAGAAAGAGCGAGGACGGCAGGGAAGAACAGATGTAGACTTCAACGCACTATGTTACATGAAAACACAAAAAAAGAAAACAGCGTCCAAAGTGGGGCTCGAACCCACGACCCCAAGGATTAAGAGTCTCATGATCTACCGACTAAGCTAGCTGGGCACGCAGGAACGGACTTGGCGCACAACATCTCGTGTGTACAAGATCAGCATAGTTCACCAAAAAAAAACGAGGATGGCTGAGAAGAAACAGACGTATACTTCGACGCGCGATGTAACATGGGAAGAGTCGGGAAAAAAACAGCGACCAACGTGGGGCTCGAACCTACGACCCTGAGATTAAGAGTCTCATACTCTACAGACTGAGCCAGCCGGGCACGCAGGAGATGACTTGGCACACAACATCTCGTGTGTACAAGATAAGCATAGTTCACCAATAGAAAAAAAACGAGGATGGCGGGGAAGAAAATGATGTATACTTAGACGCTCGATGTCACATGGGAAGACTCGGGAAAAAACAGCGCCCAGACGGGGGGCTCGAACCCACGACCCTGAGATTAAGAGTCTCATGCTCTACCGACTGAGCTAGCCGGGCACGCAGGAGCTGAATTGGCACACAACATCTCGTGTGTACAAGATCAGCATAGATTACTAAAAGAAAAAAAACGGGGATGTTTGGAAGAAACACAAGTAGACTTCGACGCGCGATGTGACATGGGAGGACTCGGAAGAAAACAGTGCCCAACGTGGGTCTCAAACCCACGACCCTGAGAATAAGAGTCTCATGCTCTACCGACTGAGCTAGCCGGGCATGCAGGAACTGACTTGGCACAACATCTCGTGTGTACAAGATCAGCATAGTTCACCAAAAGAAAAAAAACGAGGATGGCTGGGAAGAAACAGATGTATACTTCAACGCGCGATGTAACATGGGAGGACTCGGGAAAAAACAGCGCCCATTGTAGGGCTCGAACCAACGACCCTGAAAATAAGAGTCTCATGCTCTACCGACTGAGCTAGCCGGGCACAAATAACCTGACTTGGCGCACATATCGTGTGTACAAGATCAGCATAGTTCATCAAAAGAAAAAAAACGAGGATGGCTGGGAAGAAACAGACGTATAATTCGACGCGCGATGTAACATGGGAAAACTCGGGAAAGAAACAGCGCCCAACGTGGATGTCGAACCCACGACCTTGAGATTAAGAGTCACATGTTCTACCGACTGAGCTAGCCGGGTATGAAAGAACTGCCTTGGCACAACATCTCGTGTGTACAAGATCAGGATAGTTCACCAAAAGAAAAAAAACGAATGGCTGAGAAGAAACAGACGTATACTTCGACGCGCGATGTAACATGGTGTGATGAGTGAAGTGGCCGTGCGTGATCGTGAAGATAGAATTGTGTTTGAAGTGCGCGCCACAGAGACAGTTGAAGAAGACGACGCAGGAAAAAAATTAGGGCAGGTGGTGGGGCAAAGAAGGAGGGAGGCAGACGTGGCTGGAAGGAAGAAGCAAGGATGAAGAACCAGGGCGTGGGAGCAGTGACCCGTCGGGTTGCGCACTCGAGGTCTCAGCAGGCTCCCACTTGGGGCCATACCGGCCGTCCTTGCAGTTCGGGCCTGGCGTGGGCGAAACGTCGCCAGGACGTTTCCGCCAGGCGAGTCCGGTGCCTACGGCCGCGAGCGCCAGCCAGCGTTCGAGATAGGCTTGGCAAACGCCATGCGCGCTCCAGGTCACCGACCTCTGCAGTGAGCCGCGTTCTTGGCCGCGGCTGTCATTGGACTTACCAGGCTACCCAAGCGTCGGCCGTCTCTTCCCAGCGTTGAGTTTGCCGCCGGGACTTGACCACCGCCTTCCTCTCCAGTGAACTCTTTCTGTTTTTATGGCCTTGTGTCTCTCACACCAGCATTCCAAGCACGTTATATTTTTTCCCTTACTTCATTTATTATTAGACCTTTCATGTCTTTTGTAAATATATTTTTTTGTGTGACTGCATAAACGGCCTCGTTACTGCCCGATTACGATTGAGTCATTGCTGGTTTCCGTATAGAAACACGAGCGTCTCGTCTAGAGCTTTGTCTCTCTATACAGCTCGTTACACATGGGAAGGCTCGGGAAAAAACAGCGCCCAACGGGGGGCTTGAACCCACGACCCTGAGATTAAGAGTCTCATGCTCTACCGACTGAGCTAGCCGGGCACGCAGGAACTGACTTGGCACACAACATCTCGTGTGTACAAGATCAGCATAGTTCTCCAAAAGAAAAAAAAACGAGGATGGCTGGGAAGAAACAGATGTATACTTCGACGCGCGATGTAACATGGGAGGACTCGGGAAAAAAACAGCGCCCAACGTGGGGCTCGAACCCACGACCCTGAGATTAAGAGTCTCATGCTCTACCGACTGAGCTAGCCGGGCACGCAGGAACTGACTTGGCACACAACATCTCGTGTGTACAAGATCAGCATAGTTCGGCTGTCACAATCTTTAATTTTTCAAAGTTTTTCTGCGACTCTGTGGAAGACATCGTTCCAGTGACTGCGGCGATGGACGTAGATTCGCCTGGGCTTCCACAGCAACCATCGACGTCGTCTGCAGCTACCACGAGAAAGCGTACGGGCCATCCGAGTGATGCTGACAGTGAGGACACGCTGATTTACTCTACGGCCAGCCACGTAAGCTCCGATGAAGGCGACTTCGTGTCTGTGACAAGGTGGCAGCGAAAAAGAAGACTAGTGATGCCGTCTCCAACAACAAGTAAGAATGCGACGAAGACGTGAGAGCCCACGATATACACAATTCTGTTTGTGCCGGTTGATGCAGCTGATAGTCTCAACCGGCTGAATCGTCAAGTCACGTCTAGGTCAATGAGGAACTCGCCCAGGGAGATATCGCAGACGTGCGGATCAATAGCCGTAAGAATATCCTTGTCGTAGACGTCACTCAACGAAGCACATTGGAAGTGCTGAGCAACGTCAAGATGTTAGATAACATCAATGTTCGCTCATATATACCTGATGGCCGCGACTCTGCGGCAGGTGTCATTTACGACGTCGACATTTTCATCAGCGAAAGTGACTTTGCTGCTCTCCTCAAACCGGTGTCTGCAGAACTTACCATAATGCAAGCTCGTCGCCTTGGTAAATCACACTGCGTGAAGCTCGTGTTCAAGGGTGGCAGCCTTCCATCGCAAGTCAAGGTCGGCCATTTTCGACACACAGTGCGACCCTTTGTACCAAATCCCCTTCAATGCCGGAAATGTTATAGATTGAGACGTGTCAGTGCTGTTAGTACAAATCTGGCTGTGTGCTCGCTATGCTCAGAATCACATAGCGCAGACACTTGCTTGCCAGGCAGAACTTCGAAAATCTCGAAACTGTCATGGCCCTCACGAAGCATCGTCAAAAGATTGCCCAATCATGAAAAAGTAAATGGAAGTGTTGAGGCAAATGGTCCGGGATGGCTAAACTCACAGGGAGGCCGCTGCCCAAGTACGACGCCGGCAGTCTCGTCGCTGGAGGCCCCTGAGGAGACCCAGTGCCGATGCAAGGATCGAACCTCACGAAATGACCTCCGGCATACCACCTCAAGCGTCCAGACACGCCAACAAGAAATCCTCCAAGCAAGACAAGAGCATCACCGGCTCGCCTGAAGCATGGCCAGCGCTGCCAACGATAGACCCGCCGTTTGAGCCACCGCATCTCTCGTCTACAATCACTTCGGAACGAGAATGCGGTGATAGTCGCGACAAAGAAATCTTAGCCATGGTAAAAGCCCTTATGAATACCATTAGTATGCTCT